TTTTTTTTCTCTCTTTTATTATCGTTCTCTCTATAGAGTAACTCGTGACGTTTTCGATCGCTAGACGCGCCTCGGATGTCTTCTCGAGATCCCAAAATACGAACAAACGAACATTGTGTCGCGCGCTGACCACTTTCAAATTTCAACCAACGTGAAAAAGTACGAAAACTCGATAGAACTGTACCCCTAACGGCACGTATTCTAATCGATCTACACGTAAAAACTGAAACACTATTGCACGGTAATATTGTTCTTCGTAATGTCGTCTGTTTGCCAGGTTATGCTAATGGAATTTTCCGTTGATTTCTATTTTAATTGTCGGAGGGGAGAAGCCTCCAACTATTGGGAATCTCTTCGATACTTCGTTCGAATGCAACTTTCGAGAAAGAACTGCTCGCGGCATAATCCGACACATAATCCTTCATGCCACCGAGCGCGGGGAAAAGAACTTTCTACATTCAGCTCGACAAGACACCCGACACAAGCCGCCGAACGAACGAGGAGAATCAGCCAGGGGATTAAATACATAAGGTGGACAGGCAGTTTTGTGTTTTTCTCGCGATGACAAATCAGATGGTGGATTGCTACTACGTAATCGGGTAGTCTTGGTACGGATGTAGACCGTTTGGTTTAATTTAACGATAACATTGATTTTTAACCGCGGGGCACGATCGCAAGATGAAATGACACGTCGCGAGATAAAATTCGAAGTTCTCTTCGTCCTTTCTTCCCTTCTTTCCCTTTCTGCCTTCACTCTCCGTTCCACGAATCGAGGCTGCCGTGATTGGCCACTGTCCTTGGCAAAACGATCGCCACTATATAACAGATTAATATCCAGAGGCACGATCGGTCTGTCTCTCGCTTTGATTGACGATTGCTATTCTGAGTTAATAGTTATTGCGATCGCAACTGCACCATTTTCTTGTTCCCGCGCGAGAGAAAATCCCGAGATCTATCTACGATTTGCGGACGAATCGAATCTCTTTCGACACGATCGGGATCGTCTCGCTGAGAGTAACGTTCGCGCGACAAAACACTGATTTAGACGGGGGGAACTCGCGGTGGAAAAATTAGAGAAGGAGATTTTCCCACCATTCCATGGGAAAATCAGCCCATTAAAGTTTACGGTTAATGAGATATTCGTCGCGAAGGATCTGCGTTATTTTTTCTCTATCAGGTTGCAACAATATTCCAGTCGGTGTTTCTGAACGAAAATCTCTGCCAAGTAATTCTGCAAAGAGCGGGAGATCTGCGCACCAATATTCAATACAATTATTCGCAGAAGGATCACTTTCTCTTCAAACTGGATTTCAAGCTCATTCTCAACTGCGCTGTATTTAACGCCTGCCGACGGCACGCGGATTAAAATACAAATATACAAAAAAAATTCATTACACACTGCGCGTCCTTGTACTTATCTTATCTGCGCACGTTCGTCTCGCTAAGTTCTAATCGAAGTTTTCATTCGGTTTTACATCTAACACTACTAGCGTCTCTCTCGACTGGACCGCGCGCGAACACGAGTTTAAATGTCGGATTTGTTCCCTCCTCGAAGGGATCACCTGGCTGGCAGTGAGCGTCTCTCAGAAGCGTTTTGACATTTATATCACGAACAGCAAACGAACGAACAGCGGAAGAATGCTCCAAGTTACGTGCCTTTTTCACGAGCCCGAAAATTGCGGAATGTAAACGACGAGAAGCAACGAGCAACGGGATTCTACGTCGGGAGGAAGAACTCGCTTGTTCCCTCGAATTTGTCAAACATTCTTTACCGAGCATTCCAATCTCTCCATTGAGATTTTTTTCGTGATTTGTTTGTCCGAAACTTTTGTGAAAATTGCGCAGCTAGCCGAGATTCGGAAACTATTAAATATAATTCACGACAAAGTAGTAGTAACTTGATAAGTAGAACGATCGAATTGGGCCGGATGTGAATCGTAGAGGATCGAATAGAATCGGTTGACAGACTCGATCGAAAAAAAAATTCTCCCTCGACGTACACAACACGCTTCGATCGATTTGCCTTTTCTATTTCTTTCGTTCTTCTCCCTTCACACGATGCTCGTCTCCACGTGAATCCGAGGAGATCGTAAAAAAGATCAACTTGGTGTAATATTGAAACGAAAGTGATTCGATTGAAAGCAAGCGTTGCCAAAGGAAGAGAAAAGAAAAGC